TCCATTTAACTTAATCAACATCAAGATAACCTTAGGCACAAGCAAGATCACAATATACATACCTTATACAGTAACTTCAAGTCAAAATCCAAGTTATATTCAGTTTACAACAACCCTTAATAGCAATACAACACCATAGAAGTGACTTAAGCTAATCCAAGTATTATCTTGTAGTTTATCATCCTAACAACTTAACCAACATACAAGCAAGATTAAGCACAATTAGTAGGCTGTTATACTCACCTTAGACAGCAGCAACAACTTGGAATTTCATCCAAATACAGCCCACAACAATCCTCAATGACAACACAACCTCAAAGAGGTGTTGTTCTTCACTAGAACTAAGTTTTGATGTTGAAATATGGTGTAATCACTTTGGAATCACTTCAAACCCTTGTGGTATATGTTTAGGAGGGTTAGGAGAAGTTTGGATACGAATATTAGTTGAAAAATGAGCAAAAATAGGCGTCCAAATCGTTTATAAATTGAAGTAGGTCAACCACCGCATAAGTGGGTCCCATTGGGAGCTGCTTGCGCGGTCTCGCGAAAACACGAATATCTCTCTACTCCGATGTCGTATTGACTAACGGTTTAATGCGTTAGAAACTAGACTCGTAGATATTCAATTTGGTAGGTAGAACACCCCATGATTCCAAGTATATTTGGAGAAATTTTCAGATACATTTGATCTAAATTTTAGCAAATTTATGAATGTAACTTATGATGACCTTTGCCAACTCTTGTTCCATAACTTGCTTGCCTTCAAAATGTAGACAATGAATATCATACGACTAAAATAACTCATAGAATAACCTCCTTATCATGTTAATAACCCTAGTCTCACCCCAAAGTACATGTTATAACATTCGAAACTTGTCGACTTTCGACGAAACTTATTTTCTTCAATTGGTTTAGCTTCTAAGATTTCCAACCCTCTTGGTACTCGTTATTCATGATCTTAAATATTTGTAACCTCCAAGGTAACATGATTAACTTACTTTATTTTCTTCCAAATATAATCTCATTTCCGAGCTTACATTAATGACTTACGACGTACTCTCACGTATGAAAACTTGGGGTATAACAAATATGTTTTGAAAAATTATATCCAAATAAATTTTTATCTTCAAACCAAACTTCACCCAAATTAAAAATTTTAAAATAAATTTGGAAATCTATGGCCAAACGCTAGCCAAGACATTCAAGAGTTTCCCATCTATCTTTCCTAGGTTTAGGAGTATCTGCTAGTTGGTTCTGTATCCTTGCAGTGTATATAGATAGGATAAATTAAAGAGTAACGTGCGTTTGGTTGGAGGGATTAAGTGGATTATATCTGTATAAAATTTGGGATTGAATTTATTATGTGATTGGTTGAGGGTATTATCTAAAATTGGGATAAATTTAGTACTGCAATCATGAAATTATATAATCCTAAATAGAAGGTGGGATAAATAATCTCAATCAAAACACTGGTTATTTATTATTACGGAATAACCTAGCTGGGATTGAACCAAAGGACTCCTAACATTATCTAAGGATGAGAAGTATTGAGGTTTGATGATAAGCTTGTCTTTAAATCCACCTATAGTTTTATTTTCTAATATTCTTAGTAGAGCTTAAATCTTCTGGTTTTGCTATCAGGATTAAGATAATCCAAAATGGATAATTACTTAAGTTGCCTCGTCATTAGGCCTTTATAATATCCAATCTGGGCGTCTAATGTATATTGAAAAATGCATCATGAAGGATATAGTGTGAAGTTTATCAATATTTTCCGCTCAGTCCAAATGATTAATTAATAACTAATTTGGTTACATTGTTTCTTTAAAGTAATACTAATCTCAATTAGCAAACTAAACTTAAAATTGTGGATCAAGAATAAAAACATTGGGCAAGAAATCTTGTTACAATTTCAAAAATGAAGTAGAAACAAACACCAACAAGGGTTTTAGTAGAGTACTAGTAAGTACTCTTTCATCCTTAATCAGAGGTCTCGGGTTTGAGTTTCTGGATACGAAGTCGTTTTTGTTAGGTAGCGTTTTACCCCAATGTGGGACTTCCCGACAAGAATTCGAATTTAATTGGGCCATAATATGGATATCGGACACCGGTGACCGGCAAAAAAATAGAAATAAACGATAGGACAATGCAAGAATGTTCAAGTGGTTGGACTTGGTAGGGACCCGCAAATAAACAAAAATGTGAAAATAGAGGTCGTAATTCAACAACCCATTTGCTAAAATTAAGCAGAATCTAATATAGCAAATAATAGTCTGAGACCTATGTTTTGGAAGTATAAGCAAAAGACCGCACGCTTGGTTGAATTGAATTTCAAATGCATATTCTTGTTTTTTTCTCTTCTTAATTCCACCTTTCAGCTGTTGAAATTTTGTACAAAGTCTTGTACTGCTAATACTGCTACTATAGTTTCTTCCACTGTAAAATGGATGTGGACGACATAATAATTTTGTTAAACTAGTTCATGAATCTTGAATGTGGACACACGTAGAAAATTATAATAATTCCATGTACGTAACCAAATCCAATATTGAGCCCATTGAGTTAAGGTTCAATGAATGCTCACCAACTAACTAATGGTCATGACACACGGGGTCTTGTTCCTGGTGCATGCCAAATTAGTATTTATTAAAATAAGTCTTCGTTTGGACCTACCTTTAGTTCATTTTTGACATTTTTATTTCACCGTCATTACTCATGACCTCAGACTATATGATGCATAACTACTGCTGTATTATCCTTTAATTTGAGTTTTTATCATTTTTCTTACTATTGCATATTTAAATTTTGATTTGAGCCAAGAGTTTATTTGAAACAACTTCTCTATTTCTGCAAGGTAGAAGTAAAATTTGCACTCACACTATCTTATTGTTATTATTATTGTTGTTGTATTTAAACTTTGCTAGCTAATTTACTAATCTGTTTTTATCATTTTTCTTACTATTGCGTATTTAAATTTTGATTTGAGCCAAGAGTTTATTTGAAACAACTTCTCAGTGGCGGAGGCAGGATCTGCATGAAGGGGATTCAATTTTTTTTTTTTTTTTGTATAAAATCAGATAAATAAGCCGAATATGACAGTTGAGCGACCGTGCTAGAACCACGGAACTCAGGAATACCTAACACCTTCTCCCGGGTTAACAGAATTCATTATCAGGATTTCTGGTTCGCGGATTGTAATACAGAGTCATTTCTTTTCCTCGATTCGGGATACAACCGGTGACTTGGTACACCATAAATCTCCCAAGTGGCGACTCTGAATTAAATAAACAAATCCTGTTTCGATTGTCCTTTAAATGGAAAAACTCCCCTACGCCTCTGCCGGCGCAGGTAAAAAGGAGGTATGACAATACTGTCCATGTATTCTGAATTTCTCTATCTAGAAAATTAAATGTTCACATATGAAAATTTCAATTTTCTCCGCCATCTCCTATAAGTCTAGGTTTTCTTGATCGACATAACAATTTGAAGATCAATAATAGGATCAACTGATAGTCAAACAGAAATAAATAATTCCTCTAACTTTCAAACTTCAGATCGAGAAGATTTTAGTTTTCTTCCCTTTAGAAAAAAAAATATAATTCAGTAATTTTTTTAATTTAATAAACTACATCTAGAACTTATCAAATAATTCATCTTTGTTTTTTCTTCAATATTATCTGTTTATTCATCTAAACAAGATTAAAATAATTTCCNTATTAGATAACGTGGAAAATGTTATTGCAAACGTGACAGGAAGGTAAACCCCACAATACCCCCACTAAAATTAAGGAGTATTATCACTTTTAGTCCACGTCAGAAATTATTTATATCTGGTAGCCGAAAAAGTGTATAATTTTTGTATATAACATATAGAATATATATATATATATATATATATATATATATAAATTTTATACAATTTTTCGACTATTATTTTTACAACAGCTATACAATATTATTTTTCCATATTAAATATAAGTAGTACAATAGTATGGTTTTTAATTAGTAAACAAGTAAGTCGGCTGACGTGACAACATGCTTTTTGGTAGAGCCCCCTCCTCCCACGGCTACAGCCAGCACCAGGAGCCTAGAAAAGTATAGGCACCAGTTCATTCAGTCAATGAAGTTGCAGTCAGTTCTGATGATTATGCCGTTTCAAGTGGATGTTCAACGAGGTAAGGTTAGATTAGATGGAGGAGGACTGCGAACGTCCATCCCATGAAGTGCCAGGGAACCATGCATTCCTCCCGGGCTGGGCTCTCGCGTGTCCGGGATCCGATCAGATCTACCAGCGACCGGTTTACGGAACAAGGAGTTAAGCAAGGGCCAGGAGAATGATAAAAGAACCTGGCCGAAGTTAGTGTTGTGTTCAATTCCGCGGTTGGAAGGATTTCTTTCTGTCATCTGTCTTTCCCTTCTCTCTCTTCTCTTAGCAAAGGTAGGTTCAAGTCAAACTTTTTTTTGGCTTGTGGGCTCCGGGACTGCAGTCAGCTGCTTCCCTTATAGTCGTCAACTCATTCTTGACAGATCCGATCGGGTGTTCATAATCTGGAGTAAAAAATTCGAACCTTTGCATGCCGGTACCAAAAACCGATGCCTTACCACTTGTTAGATAGGAAGATTGAATCAAAATTCTACCTATTTATTTATTTATGTATTTATTTATTTATTTATTTATTCAGGGAGTATTTATTATTTATGAAGACTATTATCCTATCCTCCATCCTCTGCCCATATGTCCAACTAAGAACATAATGATGATTTATATCATTTTTTTTTAAATTCCTTTTTCTTCTGTTTTGTCTTATTAGATATGTTTCTTTCTAGTTTCCTATGGGCAGGCTTGACTTTGACTAGTAGGAAGAAATTCAACATATGATATGGGCCGACAAAAAATGTAACTCACTTACTTTATTTATTTTTCTTGAATATGCCAATATCTTGCTGTAATATATTATTATTTTTACAACTATAAATAAGCTGTGAAGAAAGCCAAGGATTCTTCCAACTCTCAACTTGAATACATTTTTATACTTTTCTCTTGATTTTCTTCTTACCTTCCTACAACTTGGTCTTCTAGACTTCTTCCTTAGTTCACTATTTAAACCTTCTAATTCATTCAGTCGATATCAGTTTGAAAAAGCAAACGTTTCTGAATTAAAGAGGAAATCATTTTACTTGATATTTCTTAGAAGAAAATTTAAAAAAGCAATGGAATTTACAAGTTTAGTTGATACTTCTTTGGATCTGAATTTTAGACCTCTTCGAGTTCCTGATGGAGTACCGGTAAGCATATGAGATAATTAAATTTGCAATATATATCATGCATATATTTCCCGAATTTAATAATTATATATTCTTTGGTTTAATTTGGAATATTGAGTCATTTCATTTGATTTCAGAAACAAGAAGTTGAGAGTAATTTTATTGGGCTTGGAATAGATCACACGCCAGTCAAGGATGAGGTTTGTAAATTAATCTTTTTCTTGTTTCCTTCTCTTTGTTAACTTTTCTTGCTTAATATTAGTTAGAAAATACCAAATCTTTCTTCATCTCGATTAATTAATTGATAAATATGTAATTATGAAAGATAGAACTTTTTCTTTTGTGGAGAGTGATATACTCCTTTAGGGAGGTTATTCACGAATTCAGATTAGTCTGAACAATGAGCTTTGAATATCATATGGTTGGGAAAAATGACGACGACAACAACAACCCAGTAAAATCTCATAGGTGAAGAGTCTGCGGAGGGTAGTACGCAGACCTTACCCGACCCCGATGGAGTAGAGAGACTGTTTTCCGATAGACCCTCGGCGCAAGAAAACAAAAAAGACGAAAAGAAACAATATATCAATACCATCAACAGAAACCATAGAAATAATAACAACATCATAAGAACCAGAAAATAGACGAAACGCAATAACAACAACCAATAATTCGGAAAAATGATAAATTTTCTTAATTTTCTTTTGTTTTGTGTTGTGTTGTCTATGCAGGCAAGTGATTTGTTAGAGGAACTAAATAGAGTAAGTGCTGAAAACAAGAAGCTGACGGAGATGTTAACAGTGATGTGCCAGAATTACAATGCATTGAGAAACCAAGTAACGGAGTATATGAGCAAGCACAATACTACTGCTACTACTACTTCAGCTGATGATCATAGCGCTGGATCAAAGAAAAGAAAATCTGAAAACAATGAAATATTGAAATCAATTCAAGGAGAGAGTAGCTCAAGTGATGAAGACAACTCTTGTACAAAGAAACCAAGAGAAGAGCACATTAAAACTAAGACAACTAGAGTTTATGTTAGAACTGAACCATCTGATACTTCTCTTGTAAGTTCCCAATACTGTAAATGTTCTTGATCATCATCTGTTTAATTTAATGTTTTCAATTTATATTGAGTATTGAACGCAATATTTATTAATATTTTTGTGCAGATTGTGAAGGATGGATATCAATGGAGGAAATATGGTCAGAAAGTAACAAGAGACAGCCCATCTCCAAGAGCTTATTTCAAGTGTTCTTTTGCTCCTACCTGCCTCGTTAAAAAGAAGGTACTTTAAACTTCAGACCTCCAAACAAATCTAAGTATTCTAAAAAGGCAGCCCGCGCACTAAGCTCTAGTTATGTGCGGGGCAGGAGAAGGGTCGGATCACGAGGGTTTATTGTACGCAGCCTTACCCTGCATTTCTACAAGAGGCTGTTTTCACGGCTTGAACCCGTAACCTCCTGGTTACATGGCAGCAACTAAATTTAACGCATTCTGAATGATTAAATTCTCATTTTATGTGATTCTAGCTTCATGGAACTAATATGTAGCTCAAAACCAGTGCTGAAAAAAAATTTGATTAAGGTCTAATATGTAAATCGAAAAGCAAAAATAATGTCAATAGCTTTTTTAGGATGCATATGACAAAATTATTATTTCTTTGATTGTAAATTGATTCTTCCTGACGTATAGTTAAACTAAGAGTGTTAAAAAAAATATCTCATGTCTTTTTCGACTAGAAAACAACTCAACAAGTAGGACTGTAGGAGTTATTAATTAGCTAGCCCGACTTTCCTTGAAATTTCTTAATTGTAGTAACTACTTCCAGATATTTTATGGATGGTATAAAATTTGGTGGCCTAACCTCAGACGCAAATTTAGAATAGTTTTCATAGGTTAAACTTAACTTATTATTTCGATTTAAACTAGGTATACATATGGAAAAAGCATTTAAAATGTATGCATACGATAAAGTGACACTCATTTTGATTTCATTTATAACTAACTCTAAATCTTGAATTCGTTTCTGCCCACTCGATTCTTCTCTAACAATGAGTTGTTAATTTAATAGGTGCAGAGAAGCGTAGAAGATCAGTCAATTCTAGTGGCAACATATGAAGGAGAACACAACCATTCACATCCCTCTAAAATGGACGCCGTTACAACTTCCCCGTCAAGCCGTTTAAACGGGAAGAGTACTCTTGGGGTTACTGCTTCAGTGCCATGTCAGACTCTCAACAGCACAGAACCCAAAAACATGTTACAAATTGAAGATAAGAAAGTGGCTAGTAGTACAAGTACTAGTACTGTAGGTGGACATAAGCGCAAATCATTATCAGGAGGAGCTGATAATAATAATCATCAAAATAGACCAGAGTTTCAGCATTTTTTGATTGAACAAATGGCTACTTCCTTGACAAAAGATCCAAGTTTTCAAGCTGCCTTAGCTGCCGCCATTTCGGGAAAATTCCTACCAAATAATCACACGGATAAATAAATTATTAAATAAAACCAAACCTCATTATTGATGATTGGTGGACAGACAGACAGTTGTTCAGTGTTTTTGACTCATTGAAAGGTTCCAGAGAAACACAGCCCACCGCACTCCCCCACTAGAAAATGTTGTAAAATGTAAATACTGTTATTGTCTCTTAGGGACATAGTAGGTTGGACTAGGAGGTGCACGTGGGAATGGGATCTTGATTTGGGCTAATTTTCCATGGCAGCCAAAATTGGTTAGGTCTCAATTTACTCTGAGTCTCACAACATCGAGATTTTGGAGGACTTAGATTATCGTTGTTGAATTCGGTGATTTCTGCAATATACGAAATAAGGTTTAAAATTCTATACTTGATCAGATTTGAATTGCTATATTTGGTATGAACTTAATTTTTTGTATAACTGACTGGTTTTTTTGATCGACTCTAACATGTTATTCATTTATTTTCACGTTACCACAACATGCTTAGTGTACATTATCTGCAGTTAGCTCTTAAATAATCGGATAGTGTAGATATTCTTTTGCAATTAATTGGATGAGATTTATCTAGTCTGTTAACTATATGTTTTTCTTTCGTTTTCTGGTCACTTTGACGGAATCCAAAAATTCAGGCCGTGTTGAAGTCAAAAGCAGAAAAGACCATATACGTGAGGAGGAGAAGTTAAAAAGGAGAGATTTTGGGAGCATAAGTACCGCGAGCTAAGGATTATTATAATTCAGGGTCATGGTAAGACTAAAACAAAAATAGCTTATGCTACTCGCCTAGTTTTTAAATGTTAATGTCAGCGCAATTCAAGTTGATTTTCAAACCTGCAAAGTTAATGCCTGCCTCGACCACAAACGTTGACCTGAAAATAATGTATTAACTTTGTAATCTCTTCTGGTGGGGCCCCTTCGGGATGACCCAATTGGTTTGGAGGACGGTTATCCATACATATGAGCTGGGGTCAATCCCCCCTCAGCCTTCTGGGACGAGCCTGTCAAGCGGGGCTTGTCTAGGCAGTGACAGAGGTTGTAGCGACTACCGATTTTTCTGGAGTTCCAAAAAATCTCTTCTGGTAGCGGAACAGAAAGCGATAATAACAACAACAATCCAGTATAATCCCACTAGTGAGGTCTCAAAAAGGTAGTGTGTACGCAGACCTTACCCCTACTCTGGGGTAGAGAGGCTGTTTCCAAACAGAAAGCTATAACGTTAGTAGTAAAACAAATATAGAGACAGCATATAACATAAAATGTAGAAAAGTATTAGTCAACCACCATTTCCTAAGCTTGTCTTTTAATGTAATCTATGTTTTTTTCGTCATTCTTTTTCAGATGTAATTTCTTAACCTGGAACGCTGGATGATTAGCGACTCACTTGTCCAGCCAACTTAATTTTCCCCACTTAAAACCTACTCCACCTTGCCCAGTTTTGCCTAGGCCTATGACATTAATTTTTTTATCAAATTGTATACACACAGCCTACGCAAATTCCTCTTAAATTTTCATCGCTACCCCTACTTAGCTGCAGATAGCCTAAAGCCTGAGATGTACACAGCAGCGGGAAAAAATAATAGCAAGGTCATTTATACACAAGCACTTGCCGCCCTTTCAACTGTATCGCAAACAAGGGCGCAAAGCCACCAAATCTACTACTAGGAGTATAAATTACATATCACTACTTTGACGCCTTGACACAATTCACTATGTGGATAAATTGAAGTCAGCAATAGCTCTTATAAGACCCATTTCAGTTTCATCCTTGAGTTGTTGTTTCACTTCAGTCTTGGCCACAAGGCCATCATCTTTGTCCATTCCATCAATTGCAGCTACACAATCATGAAATCTGAAGCAACTAATGAGATGGTCGTTTGTAATTCCAGCTACTTGCATGAAAGAGTACACAACAGTAGGCCCGACTCCTCTGAATCCTCTTTTAACTAGGTCTTTGCTTATCCCTTCTGCTTTTGATGTCTTCATTGGCACCTGCCTTGCATATCGGAACTGACTAACTATAGGTTTGTTGTTCACAAAACCCCACATGTATTTGTCGAAAGATCCAAGCTCATCGATTATCTGAGAGGATAACAAGGGCATGGCGTCAAAAATTGTTTCCAAGTAACAATTACTACTCACTGACGCTGTTATATTGAGGAGCCCAATATGGATTTTACTTTAATATTTAAACAAGACAAGTTATGATTTAGACTACTTTTATGTAGTCTAAAGTATATAGTTCCTATTTCAAAAGAACTAAATAAAAGCCGCTATCCAAATTCACACAAAAAAAATTAATGATTTGACCCTCATACTCCGAAATCCTTACTTTTAAAAGAAAAGAAAAAAATATTTGAGAAATATCGTTTCTCTTTCTCCTTTCAGAAGCTCTTTGTTATTTAATATACCCCACTTCTAGAATACCGCACCTATTAAAAACACAGCTAATGCCTTATATTTCATAATCATATCATATCTGTAGTTTCTGACTTTAACAGCACATCACATGCAGCTGCCAACTATTTTGAAAATTTTGCACCAAGTACAGAAACCCATCAGTTTTCTGAGAAGCAGAATTATCGACGGAAAGGCTTTCTGCTCAAGACAGCTGATACAACAAACGTAGACCAATTAACTTGAAAACTATTGGGCTCTAATTTATTTGCAGCGAAGAAGCAATTTCCTGTTGCTATCTTCTTTAATTATCTAACGATGGTCCCACAGCCTCCTATTACGTTTTGTAAAATTGACAGCCATCTTGGTGGAATTATCTAAGTATTTCGATTTATGACGAAAAAGAGCCAAGCACTGAGTAGAACCCAGTACAAATTCTTCTTCAAGACAAGGACAACCCAGTAAGAGAGAAAACTTTGCACATACCTTACAGGTTTGGCGTGCATTTTCAATAATTGCCCGCAGCTTTACCTCTGATAAGAGAGTGCTGGCAGGACTTCCTGGTGGTGCTATCTTCTTCTCATTTAGTTTTGAGACTGCAACTGGGTCAAAATTTTGAAAGACTTCTCTGCATAACAAATAGTTCCAGCTTTTGTAAGGCAACCAGATATGAAACAATAACCCATGTTCTGGTACTCCAAAGCACTGGTGCAGAGCTTAATGTACCTAAACGTATGCCTTTTACTGAGAATTGCTGGCCATGAGAGTTCAGCTAATGCGGTGCATAGACTGAGAAGTTCAAAAAGTTTCCTGTAAAATAGCAGTAACTCAGACTGAGCATCACATGAAATTGCCTTGTCATTGCATGCTGCAGAAGAATAAGAAAATACAAAGTAGGAGTACGCACTTGTCGTCATGGACTGGAACTCCCCATTCCTCATCATGAAAAGCAGCATATGATGGATCTTTTGGCAAAATGAAACCAATTAGCAGAGGGAACTAATAAGAACGTAACATCTACATTATAACAACAATATATCCTGCAAAAGGGATTACTACCAATATAATGGCAAATTCCAAAACTGGATCAATAACAGAATCCATCACAAACAATGAATTAACCCCAATCGCAGACTTACAAGGATTAGCTACATGAGTCTTCTGTCTCATTTTCCCCTCTGTTCAACCCATTTTATTCCACTACCAAATAATTTGTCTTTAAGGGAAAAATTAGGCTTCCCGTCACGGAGATATACTACCGGAATAGCACTCCCGACAAATAATAAACCTATATGGATCCTTTTTTCTTTTAAATGAAGTAAGGTATTGCATTAAATGCATCAAGAAGATGCAAAATAGATACAAGAGAAAACTTGGTTAACTCCTAATAGAAAAACAAACCTTTTTAGAACAGGGAGTTAACCAAGACCAAAAAGGAATGGCGACTAAACCATTCAGAGGAAACCTATATGGATCCTTTGCTTAGAATCGATCACGAAAATGGAAAAATTTACCCTGATCAACTTGTTGGAAGAGTTGCTACTTGTTCCTCAATGTAGGAAAAGAAGAACAAAAGTAAATCCAGCTAGAGAGCTAGATCACAGACCATCATATGTGTGCGACAAAATGGAATAGAGACGTACACAAACTATTAGTTTTACATGCACTACATACTTATTCAGTATCAGGTTCCATGCCTAACACTTTGACCTTTCTTAATTTTATCCGTTAGTTCTTAAGCGGTTAAGCCCAACTAAGGGAAAAAGAATCCGAAATTAATTCTTCCCCTCATCAGGTCACAGTTAATAGCGGACCCAAAAATGATCCTATCATCATAACACTTCTGTCGCTTCTGTTTCTTTTTTGTTTTTGGATAGTATCGTACTCCTTTTATTTTCTTTTATTCTTTTTGAGAAAGGTAAACAATAATACTATCATATTTTCCATCTTTAAACCCCAAATCTCATCATTAGGGAACGGAAAGGTATAGAAATGACCCGCTACATCTCATAATAGGCTGTAAACTCAAACACCATGGGAGGAGAAGTGGCAAGTGAGAATCCTATACACCAATCGCGGAGGGGGCTTCACTGATAGCGGTGCACCAGAGGAAGCCAAAGCTCAGTTATATCCTATCATCGCAATCATGACAATGAAGGTTCTGGCCTGCCCAAGGATTTTATTTATATCAAAGGGGCCAAGACAGCAGCTAAGATTGCCACAAAGACTACAGTAGAGAGAGATTTTCTAGAAATGATTTATTAATACTTCAAAATGATTATGTTTCAGAGCTCATGCATGGCCAGTCACTTAAATTTCCCGACATCAAGGACATAACCCATCACTCCTCTGACCATGTTTGATATTGTTAGACAACAACAACAACAATAAAGCAGTGTAATCCCACAAGTGGGGTCTGGAGAAAGTAGTGTGTACGCAACCTTACCCCTACCTTGTGAAGGTAGAGAGATTGTTTCCAATAGACCTTCGGTTCAGGGGAAGCATAGTCACATCACTTGTTGGAAAGAAAACAGTAGCGTACAAACCATGGAAAGGAAACAATACAATAACAATAAACTCAGCGTAATCCTACAAGTGGAGTCTGGAGAGGGTAGTGCGTACGCAACCTTATCCCTACCTTGTAAAGGTAGAGAGGTTGTTTCCAATAGGCCCTCTGCTCATAGGAAGCATAGTCACATCACTTGTTGGAAAGAAAACAATAGCGTACAAACCATGAAAAGGAAACAGTAACCCGACATATTATCAACAACATCAGGATAACAAGAAGGATACGCTCACGGCTACCTACTAGCCTTCTACCCTAATTCTCGATCTCAATATCTTCCTATCCAGGGCCATGTCCTCAGTAAGTTGAAGGTGTGTCATATCTTGCCTTATCACTTCTCTCCCACCATAGCCAACCTCTCACTCTCCCTCTCACTGGGGCATCTAGGCATCTCCTTTTTACATGCCCGAACCATCCTAGCCTCGCTTCCCG